TTATCTGAGCCCTTGGTGGACGCTGATGTCATGGCCCTGCACGTCTCCTCACAGAGACGCTGCCGCCACCGCCGCCACGCGAGCTGGGACCACGGACCAGATTTTGGGGTTTTTATCCAATCTGCTACTCTTCTTCTCTTCAGTGGTGTATTTAAACCAATCTCATTCAATGTGATTATTGAGAAGCAACATTTTATTGCTATTATTGTATTGAGTTCTTTTTGATGTTGCTGCTAGTTACTTTGGATCATGCAGCTTTCTGTGGTATGTCTGTAAAACGGACATCTCTGAGTCTTTCTTGCAATGCTGGTCTTGTTTTTACAAATCTCTTAAGTTCTTTTTTCTCAGAATATCTCAATCTCTCCTTCATATTTGACGGATAATTTTTCTGGGTACAGTATTCTTGGTTGACAGTTATGTTCTTTGAGTGTTTGATATATGTCCTTCCACTGTCTTCTTGCCTGCATGGTTTCTGCTTAGAAATAGGCACTCAATCTTATCTGCTGTTCCTTACAGGTTACTCATTGTTTCTCCCTTGCTGCTTTCAGGATTCTTTCCTTATCTTTGGTTCTGAAAAATTTACCTATTATATGCCTTGGTGTTTTCCTTTTGCAGTCTGTTCTATATGGTGTTCACTGAGTTTCGTGAATACATATTTTCTCATTCTTCATTATGCCTGGGAAGTTTTCCTCTAGTAATTCTTCCACAACTTTTTTGGTTCCCTTACTTGCTTCTTCCAGTTCTTGGATTCCAGTGATGCACCTGTTATTTCTCTTGATGGTGTCCCACAATATTCTTAGGTTTTCTTCTTTTTCCTTCCTTGTTGAGTCTGGTTTTTGCTCTAATAGATCAGTGGTGACAATTTTGTCTTCTATTTCACTGGTTCTGTGTTCCATCTCTTCATCTCTGCTCCTGTGTCCCTCCCTCATGTTGACAATATCTGAAACACTGGACCTCAAATTTTCGATAGTGGAGTGCCACTAATGCCTCATTTGTTTTCTATACATTGTTCTGGACTGGTTTTTGTTGTTTTTGTGGGTTTTTTTTCGCTGTTGTTGTTTTGTTTGTTTGTTTGTTTTGCTGGTTTTTATTTGGGGGAGGAAGCTTGTAGTATCCTGTAATTCTTCAAGTTGGTCTTTCATCCATTGAAAATATTTAATCATTGTTCTTTTTAATTCTGTGTCAGAAAGTTCCATGAGAGTTTCTGACTTTAGGAAATCCATTGATACTGTGTCACCCTTTGGGGGTGACATCTTGCTTTATGTTTGTGTAGTGTGTGAGACATCTTGCTTTTTCAAAACATTGATTTGTTCTTGATCTGAAGTCAATGCTCCAGAGATCAGTTGGGTAGCTACTCCACTTGTGTTTTTCTCTGAACTTCTGACTCCAGGGAAATGTCAGTTCAGACCCTGTGAGAGCAGCCTCTTGCAGGTAAGAAAGATCAAGGTTCTCTGGATTAAAGGCAAATTGATTGACAGGACTTGTAAGCACATGTGTGGAGTCAAATGAGGTGGGGCAGTCATGGGGGGTGGGGCGATCACAACGTCACTTCAACCACTTCAACCACTTGGGGGACCTCACTTAGACCTCAGATCTCCGGGTGTCTTCACAATTGGGGTTGGCTACCCAGTGTAGACAGAGAGTGGGTTGGAGCTCCCCAATTAAAACAAGCTTGAAAGGAGGAGTGGCATTCACTTCCATAATAGCTTGCCTCCGGAAACCCTATGAACCTGGAGAGAGGATGAAAGGCGCCCAAACATTGAGGACTCTCCTTCATAGGGTCGCTATGAGTCACCTGCAACTCGACGGCACGTAATAACAACAACAGCAACAACAACAACAACTCAAATTCCAGCTGTCCATCTCCCACCCAGTCGTTTTCACTCGGTATTCCCTTCCCAGTGGCACTTATGCAGGTGCCCTCACGCAGTGGCCCCTGCCCAAGCAGAGTTCTGGGTCCAATAGGACCTGAGAATTCAAAGTCAAATTCCGGCCTACCCACTCGCCTTTGGCTGGACTGCAGTGTCCATAAAAGGTCAGACAAATTACTGGCCCACTCATTCCTGGGCAGTCCTCATGGCCCAAGAGAACTCAGCCAAATTACTACCAGTGGGCTCACCCTTGGGCACTCTCCCAGGCTATTGGCTGTGCCCATGAAAACTCAGTCAGGATCCTACTGGCCTTTCTCCTGCCAGATCAGTCCCACAGCAGCTCAGCTGGTGGCTTTGGGCAATGGCTGGATCTTTGGTGCGGCTTTGTGTTCCTTTAGCCCTGAAACAAATTGTTTCAAAGAAAAGATCTGGTTAAAAATCCTATTGTCCACAGCTCCTTGTGTTGTTGGTTCTATGTGCAGCGTGAAGGACTCTGTAGTGGCCCCGGGGTGCCACAAGCGTGCAGGGCTGTGACACCACCACCGGGGGTGCAGAGGTGTGTAACTATGGTGGCGGCAGGGGTGCGGGGGTGCAGAACTATGATGCCACTGCCAGGGGTACAGCGGTGTGGGGGCAAGAGACTGGAAGGGTCAGGGCATGGAGGCATGGGGCTGTGGCAGGGGTGTGGGTGCTAGGGTGCTGGGCAGGAGCTTGACCACCGGGGGAGAGTTAGTTTGGATTGGGTGCCACCAGGAGTTTGGGGCTGGCAGTGTGTTCACAGATGTTAAGCTGCCAAGTCATTGGTCCTCAGCACATCGGACTTCCTGAGTTGCTCTATGCCCATGTTGTGGTGCTCTCCACCTGTGCTGAACTGCTCTCCACAGGGCTTTCTTCAGCTAGAAACTATTTTATGACCTGTTCACTTTCTTTTTTTGTAATAGGTTTATTCAGATATTCTACTGTAATCTGCTTTAGTTTGGGTAGATTGTGTTTGTCCGTTTCCTCTAGGTTTTTATATTGAGTATATTTTTCCATAATATTCTATTATTAATATTTTTATTTAAGTTGGTTGTGTTGTGACGTTACCACTTTCATCTCTTATGGGAGTTATGTGTGTCTTTTGTTTCTTTCCTTTTGTTATTTTTGCTAGTGTTTCGTTGATTTTATGGAACTTTTCAAAGAATGTTGAATGTACCATGGACTGCCAAGAAAAAAAAAACCCAAACAAATCTGTTCTAGAGAAAGTGAAACGAAGCTGCTCCTTGGAAGCAAGGATTTTTAAGTTCCATCTCAGAGAACTTGGGCAAAATGTTTTTGTTTTAGTGTCTAGTCTTTTTGGGGTTTGCTGAGGTTTTTTAATGTAGATTTCCTTGTTTTTCATAATAGTTGGCAAGTTTTCTTCTGGTACCTCTTCTACAATTTACTCAGTGCTTTCCCTGTACCCATCTTGCCCTGGAATTCCAATAATACATATGTTGTTCCTTTTGATTCAAATTATGTCCGTTATGATTCAAATTATGTCTTCATTTTTTCTTCTTCCTCCTCTCTGATTTTTTCTTCTAGTATGTTCCCACTGAGGCACTCATCTTCCAGCTCACTGACTGATTTTTCTATGTCTTCTGTTCTGCTTTTTTATCTCTCCAGAATGTTGGAAACTTCTACTCTTTTGGTCTTGATAATTTAGATTGCATTTTCATCCATTTCTGTTATTCCTAGTATTGTGTTGGCTGTACCTTCTCAATCTACTGATTTTTTTTTAATTCTTGTACCTCTTTATTTATGGTTTCAACTCTTTATTATATATTTTGAAATTTCTTCAGTAATTGTTCATGTTCCTCAGTGTCAATATATTTCTTCTCTCTCCCTGTATCTGGAGTACTCAGTGTGTCTGCAATATATTCAGCTGCTTGAAGAGAAGTCTTGTTTTGCTTTTTCCACAACATTTGAGGCTGCCTACCACTTTCTTGACATTATGTTAATTTTTCTTGCTTTATGTTAGGCCATTTCTGTTGTATCTATAGATTGTTTTTGATAGTTCTTCACCTTTGTGGAGCTATTGGTTAAGGTATTCTCTTTATAAGAAAAGGCAATTCACCGTACCAGAGGTGCTTTCTAGTCTTGTGAAGTGGGAAATTTCACATTTCCTAAATTCCTCCAACTTCTCTCTGCTCTGTAGTACAACCCTGTGGGAACCTCACCTGAGTACTTCCCAACTCTCCTAAAGTTTATTGTTATCTTCAGTGGTCAATGACACAGCCACATGATGAACTTTCTTTCTAGATGAGGCACAGACAGCTTCCTCCCAGCACCAATGGGGAGTCTCTCACTTGAATGCAGCCTGCCTCCTAAAGTCCATTATCATCCTTGATATTTTAAGGTAATGCCTGTGACCAGCTTCCCCAACGAATGCAGTTTCTCTTCAGGGAGGTGCTAACAGCTCCCTCCTCATGCCTCATTGAGCCCTGTCTAGTCATGTGTAGCCTGGAGGCAATCTCTCACCTGATTTTCACAACACCTATCCTATTTGGACATTTTTCCCCCTTGGTGGTTGGAGGAAAGGCCTGTTACCATAATCCCCAAATGATCTTGAACATTTTTTTATTTTGTGTCTAGAATCATTTTAGTATTGATTTTTGATTTTTGGTGAATTCTTATTGTAACCACAATTTACATAAAATGGGGAATGACATCTGTAAGTCTCCTTTTTTTGCCCAGGGGAAAACAGAATGATAGAGAGACTTATTGACTTATTTCAGACATAAGATGAGTCAATGGCTCAATCATTGGTTTGTCGCCTGTTTCCTGATTTCTGGGACAGGATGTATTCTTATCTGTACACTAGTGAAAAAAGTGATCAACATATTTATTCTAGAGGAAGTGAATTTTGATTATCAGTGTAAGTGGATTTTTAACTTTATCCTCTATATATGGACATCAGTGAACACTTGTTGAACTGAAAATAATCAGGTAAAATAGGAAGTCTGAGATAATTGGTTTATAGTTTCTCAGTCACTTTTTAGAAACTTCTACTATTTTCTTTTTTCTCTTTTCAATTTATCAGACACCTACAAGGTCTTTTATTTCTTTATTCAATACCAGAATCTATTAGTTTCTTTGTTTCCCAGAGTAGTGTGGACCATGAAACCAGGCCAAATCCTATGGGCTCTTATATTTATGCATACACTATGGCTTCAACCGGCTGATGGGTCCACTCGAGTCTACTATCTGGGCATCCAAGATGTGCAGTGGAACTATGCTCCTAAGGGAAGTAATGTCATCATGAACCAAACTCTGGACAATGACAGGTAGGTTTCATTTATTGTGGTATTATAACTAGAGTAGGGCAAGATGACTCCTCTCTTAGAGAAAGAAAGGAAAGATGTACTCAAATGCTTTCATTCCACCTGGAATCTATGACATTAAAAAGGAAAGACATGTTAAATATGGAAATGTTTACAAGATGCACAATTATTTCACACATGAATCTGAAAAGATAACCCTAGAATCAAGAAGATACCAGTTATAGCTGCCACTCATATAACATTATGTGACAGATACTATACTAGAAACTTACGTATCTTGTCACACCTATTTTTAGGGTTAGTATGGGTTGCAGATGACTCAATGGCACATAACAACAGGAACTCTTATTTAAAAAAACTTTAGATGTTATTAGTAAATACTCCCACCATACACATGAGAAAATGGAGGCTCAAAAAGAGCAAGTGATTTGCTCATTTAACACAGCTAGTAATTGTGAAAACTAGGATTTAAACTATGGCATGATATTTCTTGCTGCAGAAAGTCAAGAACTGTAGTCTTAAATAGGAATTGAAGCTCAACATTAGGAAGACAAGGATTCACAACACAGGGATAATTGGCAGCACAGTAATGGATGGAGAAAAGATTGAGGTTGCTAACAGTTACAGCTTTCTTGGCTACACAGTCAACACTCTTAGCACCAGCAGTCAGGAAATCAAAAGACTAATTGCATTAGGTAAATCTGCTGTCAGGAAACTTTCCAGAGTACTGAGAAGCAACGATGTAAATCTAGAGACTAAGGTGTGCTTGATCCAGGCTTCACAATTACTTGTTGTGCATCAGAGAGATTGACAGTGACTAAGGATGACAGAAGAAATGATACCTTTGAGTTGTGGTGCTGGAGAGAAGTCTTCAACATACCATGGACCACCACGAAAACAAATGTGTCTGTCTTGGAGAGGGTGAATCCAAGTTTTGCCTTAAAGGATAGAATTTTGAAGCTCTGTCTTACGTATTTTGGATATATGGCCAGGAGGGATCAATCCTTGGAGAAGGACATAACACTCAGAAAGGTGGAGGGACAGTGCAGAAGAGGAAGACTCCAGATATGATGGATTTCTGCAGTAACCTAGGGCAATAAGAGTAGTTTTATCAGAGTCAGTGAGATTGTCTCAGGACAGGGCAGGCTTCAGAGCTGTTGTACATAGGGTTGCTATGAGTTGCAGGTGATTAGTTGGCACATAACAATGATGATATGATAATGATGAAAGAATATTATATGATGACGGGTCTTTAGTGGTACAGTTTGTGTTTGATCACTAACATCATGGTTGGTAGTTCAAACCTAGCCAATGACATCATAGGAAAAAAGTTCTAGTTATCTGTTTGACTCAAGATTACAAAAAAAAAATCCTTTGAAATAGTTTAACTCTCTAAAATAGAAAGTAATTATGAGTTAGAATGGACTCTACAGTAACTTTTTGTTGTTGTTGTTTGTTTTTATTTAAGCATCTTGTTTAGAGTCAATAAGACCGTGATGAGGGCCGTTGTATTTAAAGTTGGTTGTTATTATATTTTTGAGGAACATTCTTCTAAGTGGTACAGCACTCTTCTGTCATTATGCTGTACTGAGATAACCTGGGGTTGCTGTGATGCTGAACCTTGTGCCACTGGGGTATCAAATACCATAAAAGTTACCTATGATGAACAGTATTCCGCAGAGTTCCCAATTTAAGACCGGTTTGGAAACAGAAATGGTATCCACTTCCTAAAAAAAAATGCCTCAGGAAACTCTAGGAACTTTGATAAATGTCGATAGTTACAGAAAGGCTTCAGGCCTTTTGTTCATGGGGTCGCTATGAGTCATGCTTGACTTTTCAGCACTCAACCAAAACAACATGGATTGAATCTCAACAGTAAGAAAACAAAGATTCTCACCACTGGGCTGAATGGCAACATCATGATAAATGGTGAAGAGATTGAAATTGTTAACGGCTTTAGTTTGTTTGGCTCCAGCAGCCATAAAATCAAAAGACAGATTTCACTGGAAAAGTCTGCTGTCAGGGACATCACCAGAGTACTGGCGAGCAATGATGTCAGTCTGGTGACTAAGATGCACCTGATCAAAGTCTTGGTCTTTGCAATTATGTGTTATGCGCCAGAAAGCTGGACAATGACTAGGAATAATAGAAGGAGAATTGATGCCTTTGAGCTGTGGTGCTGGAGAATAGTGTTGAATATACCATGGACTGTTAAGAAAACAAACGAGTTCTTTCTGGAGAGGGTGAAACCAGGCTTCTCCTTGGAGGCTGGGATTCTGACATACTTTGGGCATGTTGCAAGAAGGAACCAGTCCTTGGCAAGGGACATTATGCTTGGAAGGGTGGAGGAACAGTGCAAGAGAGGAAGACCCTCTAAGAGGTGGATTGACTTAGTGACTGGGGTAATGGGGGTAGATGTGTCAGAGGTAATAAGGTTAGCTCAAGATAGAGCAGGTTTTAGGGTTGTTGTACATAGGGTCACTGAATTGCAGGTGACTTGATGGCACGCAACAACAAAAACAACAACCAGAATATAGTCAGGACAGTCTCTGAAATATGCTCGTGGGCAGCTCAGCCTTGAGCCTCATTGCTCCAGGCCAATATTACAATGTTCTCAGTTGTGCCAATATTGGTTCTTCCTTTTCCACAGTCCTTCAGCAAACTTGGGCAAAAGGTTTTTGGCTCTGGTTCCATGATATAACAGTCCCAAGGTCTGTTCCATCTCATGTCATAGCAGCCAAAGCAATGAACCAGAGATCTGACATGAGACAGTACAGTAACATTTTTTTAAAAAGTTTATTTGAGTGAAAGTTTACAAAATATATTGGGTTGATGGTTTTCCCCAATTAATCATTCATGCACATTGTATTCCACATCAATTACAATGAATACAGTATCCATTCATGTTTCATTACCCCTATTTTCACTCACCTCAGTAAGTGTTGTTAAGTATCATTGTGTCAGCATCAACTCATAGTTGACTTTCCAGTAGATTTCCAGAAGCTGTAAACCATGCAGTAGAAGATTATTCAACTTACCTTCATGAAGCAGCTGGTGGATCTGAACCACCTGGCTTTTGCCTGACAGAACAATTCCTTACACTAAGCCATTAGTTGTCCATAAATTAATTTTCTACTTTCCCCATTCCACTTCCGCTCCCCGATAACCATTCTATATTGATTCTCTCTGTTTATAAACTTTTCTCTACCCTTTTACAACAGTTGTCTTATATACTGTTGTTGTTGATTGCCATCAAGTTGAGCACAAATCATAGGAACCCTATAAACAAAAGGTCTGAAGCCTTTTATAACTATTGACATTTATCAAAGTTCATAGAGTTTCCAGAAACATGTTGTTTGGGAAGTGGAGGACACTTCTGCTTCCAAAGTTGTCTTATATAGGTGTGTGTGTGTGTGTGTGTGTGTGTGTGTGTGTGACTGCCTTATTTCACTCAGCACAAAGAACATTTTAAAAGGTGATGTCAAATACCCTAGAGTGAAAGTTTCATCATCATCCATCTTGAGACTTTGAAATAATAATTAAAATCTATTAAGTTTTTACTATGTAAAAAGGCATTCCAAGTGCATAAGCATTTTTGTGTATTTTAATCCATTTAGTTTTCATTAATATGTCTTCCTTAATTTTCAAAGCAGGAAAATTATGCATCAGGGTTGAATCTTTTCACCATGTCTATTCAATTTGTATGTTGAAAATAGTTTAAGAAATCTGGGTGTGTGAAGAAGAATGGGATATCAAGATAAGAGGAAGATTAATCAAGAACATGTGATATGCAAATGACACCAACTTGCTTGTAGAAAAGAAGATTTGAAGCATTTACTAATTAACTTAATGTCTACGGTCTTTCAAATGAATTATACTTCAACATAAATTAAACAAAAATCTTCACAAGATAACCACTGTGGAAGGTAGTTTGATGTTTCCTCGAATAGCAGAAGATAGAAATTCCATATGACCCAGCTATTCCACTGCTTGGAATATAGCCTGAGAAAATAAGAACTTAGGCAAAAATAGAGAATTATACACCAATGTTCACAGCAACACTATTCACCATCACAAGAACATGGAAACAGTTCAAATGTCCAACCACAAATGAATGTATTGAGAAATTATGTCACATTCACATGATGGGATACTGTGCAGCACACACAAGCAATAATTTTGTAAATCACTACTTGATTTGGGAAGGACTGGAGAGTATCATGCTAGGTGAACTAACTCAGTCCCATACAGAAAAATATGGTAAAAGACCATTATTGTAGAAATAGATAACTAGTAAAACATGTATTAGGAGTTAGGGGAGGTAAGGGGGTAATCACAGAGTCGCATGGTTTGATGAGTGGGGTGGGTTGGGGAGGTGGGGGGATTTGGTGTGAAGGGCAATTTATATGAACTTTGTAGGTGAACTAGTGTAAAATTTTAAAAAAATTAAAAAGAATTGCAAGAAATAAAAAATCTTCATAAGAGTGTCAATAAGTAATACGTTAAATGGAGAAAATTTTGACTTTGTGAATTGTTTCCTATTACTTGAATCTGCAATCAACATTCATGAAAGAATCAGAAAATATAACAAACAATAGGTGTCTCCACACATCTCTGTGTGTATGTATGCCTGCATCTGTGCATCCCGTTAATTAAGTAGGTATCTGACTTGGGGGTTTCTTGGTGTGTTCTGGAGTAGTCTCTTGCCTGGAGCACTGGGCCATGGCACCAATTGGAGGTGCCTGGCCCTGCTGCATAGACCCATGAGCATGCCTGAAGGACCTTATCTAGCTACAGGAACACTCCCACCAAATCTGGAAGCCCACCCAGGCCTCTTCCTGTAAGTCCCAGCCCTGCTGCCTGGAAGTCCCACCATTGCAACCTGGAAGCCCCACCCCACCACCCAGAAGTCTCACCCTGTCTCCCAGAAGTCCTGCCCCAAATACCTGTGCCAATGGGAGGTCCTGGACCCAACATCTGGAGGACCCTATGCCACGGTTTGG